GTTCTGTCTGATTGTCTTGTACTAGGATAGTTAATAGAGCACCGACAAAACGAGCTCGTTTGGCACGTTGCTTTTGCAGAAATCCCCCAGGTCTATTCATTATTCTTCAACTCGGAGTAAAACCAATCACAGATATCCCCGATGTGCGTTTCATCACCGAAGCGCACAAACTTCCGCTGAGAGTGTTTCACGCGGGGGGCGAGGAGCATTGTGCGGTTAAGGACACGGCCTGACCTCTCCTTTCATGACAGGCTCCGGTGATTCTGTCAATCACAGACTGCCGGGACAAATACGTGCGGATAAGACATCCGGAACGGGAGCACACACACACAGTGTTTGTTCATAATGCTAAATTAATCAGAGAACGACCGAGGACACACAGAGAGGACACGGAGGACACGCCCTGTTGTTATCATGGTGACAAAGTGACGGTAACCTGGACAATGATTAACACGAGACTGTCCGTGAAAACTCAAATCGTAGACCTACGTTCGGAGCCAAATTAAAGACGTAAGCAATGGTATATCATCACTTTTAGTTGCCATGATCATAATTTTGTTCAACGGACAAGGGGAAAATATTTGAACGGGGGATCTGCAGCCTCAGTTATATGATCAACAAACTGATGTGATGATAGGTTCCTGATAATCTTCTGAGATAGGCGGATTTGACTGCGTTCATAATCATGTGGTACCCATGCGATCTTTGATACAGATGCATAGTCAATACTGTACGACAATCCCCAACCCCCATGACCACCCCATCATCGTCTTTCAGGATTTTTATCTGATACAAATACAAAATTTGGAAAGTGACATCAAACAAACAAGGATCGATCTGTTGGAAATCATTTGTCATCAACGGGCATTACACGAGTGCATAGTGCATACCTTAACAGGGCGTGTACTATTTTCCACAGACTAACGGAATCAAGCAAAAAAGGAGCATTCGGCATGAACATCAGAAAAGAGCCAATTATTTAGCGATAGTCGAAAACCCGGTGAACACCGCTGGAAAAGACCGTGTACGTAAGAATGCGGAAATGAGGGGCGTGGGGGGTTGGTTGGAACAAAAGAGATTTGTTGTTTTCTAGCCGACGAGTCCTTTTATCTGAATGGCCGATTGGATTGAATAGATGATACAGTTAGGAAAACAGTGCGTCTTGTTAAAAAAAGACAACAGGGTAGGAATAGACCGTGCAGAAAATCACTAGCACAGTTCGCGCGCGGAATAATGTGATATTTAGTTGCAATTGTTGTTCGGTCTAAAGATAGAGGATTCGCAGAAGAGGTACACGAATGATGTAATAAAATTAAGGACATACAATAAGGATGAACATAAAAAAGTAAAACAAGGAGATAACAGAAAGACCACTGATTATTGAGGGAAAAAATGTTTTTAGCCCTATACAGAATGGCTCTCATACCACCTAGTTGCAGTTGCAGTTTCTACAACCATTAACCATGCACCGTCGTGCGCCCCTTTAGACTTGAAGTGATCAGAGTTCAAACCAGGCCGCAGCTTACTCGCACCGGATGCCACGTGACTGGTCGGCCTAGCTATCGACCTCACCAGTTTTGACAGGCCTAATTGCTATTGATTTGCATTTCATCCGTTCACTTTGTAAATCGCAGTCAGCCCATTCCAGGGGTCAACAGAAATAACATGAATTGCATCCAAAGTTTTCAAAAACAATAGGTTCAACAAAAGTTAAACGCCACCGAAATTTTTCGATCCAGTTTGGACATCAAAATTTCCCCTATTATTTAGACAGTGAACACCGGAGTCAGGGCCGATCAGAAAATAGGAAGATATTTGACAAGTGATTTAGCACATGATTTAGCTCATGAAATCGAGTGTACTAAAAAAACGTAGAGGCAATGTACTATCAACTCCAAATCTGTTAACCCCGTAGCCTCCAAAAGCCTCAGTATGGTCGGGGGTGGGCGTCTAAGGTGGCGGCTGATCACCCTGCTCTTGCATCTCGCGAAACGTTCCCATATGACCAAGCGTCTTAAATAGCCAATTCTGCTGAGGAAGCCCTACTCACCACCTTTTCGTGGCGCAGGTGTTTTCCCACCAAAGTAAGAGGATGAAAAACTGACATCCGGGGCTATGACCGGGTTGGTGGACCACTGGTAGTTCACCTAGGGGAGTTGGCCAAAATCCCTGATCCTAAACCAACCAAGAGGAGGCGCACGAACCACACACACTTTTTCGGTTGCGGCAATGGTCACCGGCTCGATTGGGCACCTTGGACGTTTGACCCCATCCGAAGGGTATATGATCTGATGAACTGGACACCGGCTACCAATGGACTGCGGTTTTCACACACCGCCCCGCTGCCTTGCGGGTCAAGCTTCGACTAGCCGAAAGTTCCGGTTATGAATTCCTCAAGAAAATTCACCTGCCTTGACCTGGGCAACCTGGCAGTCTTCAGCCTACAGGCGTCAAACATGGAACGTTTTTTTCTTTTTTATAAAGACTATTGATTTGCCTGGCACACAGTCTATCCTCAGACAAGTGTGAAATATAATAATAAGATATAGAGATATGCTGCCCATGTCCCCTTTTCGATACAACTCTGAAGTATACGGCTTGTAGACGCCACAAGTGTACTTCCGTGAGAAACGATTCCAAATGGTTTCCAATCGAGGCGAGAGCATAACTCTACGACAAAATATAAATTGAGCGAAAGATCATGCACGCCTTTGTGATGCGGGACATGTTTCGATGTGTTTAGGGGTAAGAAAAGATATTCTATTAATCTTTGACGTGATGAGCGGCAAAATGAAACGTTGCAATTTTAGTCACTGTTCAGGATTGCTAATTGACTACAATCAACAGGAGAAAACATAAGCGCAGACCATGAACGATAGTTTATGTTGCAGTTTTCATACCAGTAGTTATATAACGTATCTGGCCCGTTCAAATTAGGTTTTTTTTAGCTCTGCTAAATATCATTTCTTTGAATTGGTGCCTTTGAAAAATGTGAATTTTAGCTCCCGGAAAGTAACACGGAATTCGACGCCTATACGTGATAGAAATATACACAGTAAGCAGATTGGGGGCGTCAAAGAGTCCGATGCATGCTTACTGTGGAAACTGTCTATTCCAGCTTCACCAAATACATTCAACGTTGCAAATATAATAAGTGCCCATCTCACATTCAGTGCCCGCTCCCATAAGTTCGATTTGTCGAAAAGCCTTAGCACGCTCGCGAGTTTTTAGGTCACTATGTACTATCAGAGATTCAACACTGTAATTCAGTTTCGTAATTAGCTTTTAGTTCTCTTGCCTATTCCAACATTTCGCTTGTCTCATTGTGGCTCCCGTGCCCCGTTTTCGGTCGATTAAAGTCTATTAATCAAATGTTGTTTTTCAGGCTTGTCACCTGATTAATCGTACCATCACCCAGGCTACAACTCCAACACTATATATGCGCGAATGCAAAATGCGCTTCCAGTATTAGAGAAAATCATTGAATGAAAAACCGAGAGTTGTATGTATGTGTTCGTGTATTTAAACAAAGTGACAGGATTGACTTTCGAGTGGGAGAGATGTTTGGTGTCGGTGCTCCATCATGAATCGTCGTACATCGGTACTCATTCAGGAACGCCTCCATCGTGAGACGTGCCACACAATGAATCAACACGATGATGTGGTTAAAACAGGCCTCTCTCACACACATTTCTTCTCACGGCACCAAAAGTTAGGAACTGAGGCTCAAATAAGAATTGGGATCTGCACGCTGTCTGCGAAAACCACTATTGCATTGGGAACAGAAACGCTCTGGAACGGTAGCGTGCCTCGGAGAGCAAACTTTGGATGAATATGGTTCGCGAAATCGGATTTCAATCTGATTGGGAGCTGCGAGCCACCAAAAATGATTCGTCCTACTGACGCCTCTTTCCTCAAGTCTAATGATTAGTATTACTAGTACATCGCTGAGAATATGCCCTGTTGTCTCTTTGTCTTCCATTACTAAACAGTTCTGGAACACCATCATCATCATCATCATCCTACAGCGAAATACGCAGTGAAATGAAATTTACTGATGGCTACCAAACTCACAATGTATACAAGATTAGTGGTAATAGGTAAGGTAGACGGGGATTGGACCTATTTTGAGGAAAGGGGAGGAAGGAGAACCTCTGTTGTCAACACACAGAATACGCAATCGAACTGTACGTACATACAGTTTCGAGCATTCTGACCTGATAAGAAATGACAAGCACGCCACTGCTATCGGTTCACTGCCGTATCCTTTAATGTCTCCAACCGACCGGTTGTGGAGTCTTTTGCACCCCAACCTGGAAGGAGCGAGAAACTCAGTCTATCTTAAAGCTCGGTGTATTTCTTCACTCCTCTTCTCCACGTTATCTGTTGACCTCCAGCCTGGAACGGCTACAGCGAATAAATCGCGCTGTGGCAGACGACAGCTGGGCATACGCAATACGCGCCCTAGCCGGCAACGTCTACTAATCTGAATTAGATGAGCTAGCAGGTTTATCTCTGATAGACTCCCAAACACACGACGGCTGACCTCCAGATTAATAACCTGTTCGCTCCATTCCATGTGGGCCAAACTACGTAAACACCGCTAATTGGAAACGTCTGGTCGGTGGATATTTTCTATTCGTAAATTCAAGGTCCCACAACAGTTCTGCTGCTGCAGTTGCTTTAGAAATCCAAAAATGGGATGTTGAGTATAACGCGGTATACTAAAACGATCGCATTCATTTCAACTTACCGACGTTTACTGGGCAAATTGCGCGCTTCAAGAATGGAAAGACGGAGGGAGTTCTCACGATGCCGTTCGTTTTCCAAATTCGGTTTGGCCGTCCGACGAAGGCTGAGCACACAAACGAGAGAGAGGGGGGACGAATAGGTTGGAAAGAGTGAAGAACATCAGTGAAAGATTCCAATGCGTACCTATTGAAGGTAAATTTAAAATAACAGTGTGTGTGAAATCATCAACCATGTCATTTGACCGCCATTCTTTTCGTCACCAAACGAAAGTGGTCTGGTAGAGGCATCAACACGCGCTCTCTCCCCGAACCCATTTGGGTGTTATGTTCAGTTTGATGAACCACGTGTCCGCATAGCTGGTTTAACTATGACCCTAAGAGATCACGTGACTTGTTTACCTCATTCGTTATTCCGAGTACAAAATTTTTCTTTGAGACCGGATGCAGTCTAGTGTAGTGTGAAAAAAAACAGTAGAAAAACGTACTCGATTGCATTTGTATTCATTCAAACAAAAGCAGAATTTCAGATAAACTTTAAGCTATTTATGATCTTTGAAAGATAGAATCAGTTGATCAATGAAATAGTTGGCCAACGAAATAAATCCGGAAGAGAATTGAACTAGTAAAACGAATAAGTGAACGGACGAAGTGAAACACACCACAGTGCAAGACGCTCAGACTGTCAGCCGAT